TGGAATTGTGGAAACAAATTTTGAATCATAAATAAAAAAAATTGTGTGAATTGCTGTTTTATTTTCAAGAAAAAAATTGTTTATCGATAATAAATAGGAAAAAGTACGCAAACAATGATCGGTCTTGTTGTGTTGGTGTGGTCTTTAATTAATATTTATGCATTGTACAGTACTAGCTAAGGGTATGAATCTCATTAAAAATCCGAACCGACGCGAGGGTTTGTACGGTCAAAATCAAGTACACGCTAACAATTTAAACGCTAACAATTTAAACGATGTTCTTGTTAAGTCGAAATCAAGGACACGTCTACAATTTCAATTAAGTGCTTGTTTATTCGACGTCATCGATTGTACAAGAAAATTACATCAACAATGTCATATATGAAACTTTCAAAACAAACACTTCTACCAAACAACTCCGTATTTATGTCACCTTATCCTTTCATATACTGATTTTAGTCGTATGTAGCTAATTACTTTTAGCTTAATGTCAATTATATATAATCCTAAAATTTTATGTTATGTTATGTCGTCCAATCTTATCTTCTGGAGTAATATAATATTGACTGGAGAACACTAAACCAAATGGAGACTAACTAAGCCACACCACACTGGTTGTATTTTGAAAAATCAAAGCATTTTCAACATAATACCCAACACAAGAATTTCCATATAACAAATCCACATTTTTCTTAGCACTTTCAATTCCATGTTTGATATTGAGTGTATACTTGTTTTATTTTTGTAGGTCAACAGTCACAAGTAAACTATGGTTAATATGATTGGACGGTCAACTTAAGACTGCGCGCTATGCTATGCATCTATTTGTGATTAAACTCCCTCTACTAGGTGCATCTGTTTCATCACTACCGTTGATTTCATTCCTCGTTTAGAAACTGGGGCCCACTTCAAAATCGGACGGTGAAGGTGAGAGTCTGAAAAGAATGAATTGCATGAGATTCATCAACAAGTCGTTTGACTTTTCCTAAGGCATTATTTCTAAAATTTCCTTGAACCATTCAATTTGTTCCATTATTGCTTCCATATGATATGATGAATGTGTTTATTTTAAGTCACACCTTAAATTTGGCAATATGAAAGTTCATGTACAAATAAACTAGGATGTTCATTGAATGGTACTCCATAAATATGATACTTAGGGATGTCATTAGCTTAATATATTTGTAAATAATTAAAATTCAAATGACATTGATTGAACAAAGCTCAACAAACAAATCCAGATAAAAATTAAACTCATTTGTTGAACATGCTTGTTTAAACAACAACTTAATATTCAACATGTTTAAGCTCACAAGTAACTTAACATAATCTCGTCTAAGCTCACATACAACTTGCTTGTGATTGTTCATTGTTGATAAATTCTTTCATTCATGATCTTTATACATCACTCATTCTATATTTCTATTAGCTTGAGTTGTAGAATATTAAAGATATTTTATATGACTATGTAGACAATTACATACATCTAAATTTTAAATTGCTCTCTTAAACCCTAAACCCTAAAGCTCATTGAAATATCTGATCAAAGGTTGAGTTTAAACGAATAACTCACAAGACAAGTTGAAATGAACAACAAAATACAAATGGATATCTAGCTCAAACAATTAAAAGCAGCACAAGTCAAGCTCAATCGAACATGTAAAAATTCAATTGAGCTTAGTTTTCAAACTTGAGTATCAAGATTAGCATGAATAAGTTCATAATTACTTGGTTCAACTTGCATTGCTTACATCTATCTCATTCCCTAATGGTACATATCATTATGTTTGTAAATATATTGTACTTATACTTCCAAGACGGAATATGTTTATACCCAAAGAATAGCTATATATATACACATATGCATGAACTAACTGTATATATGTAATTATTTATAGCCAGTGTAGGTCCTTATTTCCGACAAATTCATGCACAATATGCATTCTATACAACAATTCAAGCACGTTGGATACTACGTAGTAATTTAGTTGAAAAGAATCAAACAAAAATAAGACTACAAAATAGTATTTTCCTAGTGTTTTGGCTAATTGATTGTCATTATTGAGGTCCAACACAATAGACTTTTCATGTTCAAAACTTCAAATCTCATAATTAAGTGTTTTACTAATCACCATTTTTTCACGTATTTGTGGTAGAACCTTCAAAGCACAAAATTCTAAGAAGAAAGTTGTTACCACTTTAGTTGAGTGTGACCTTTATGAAATGCATATAATCTAGAGCAAAAGTGAACTGGCACATTATATGGACCATATGACTCCATGTCTCCAAATAAAATTATAAATATCGAAAAAAAAATGCCAAATATCCAATTCAATACACACATAAAATGAATAGTTGAACTGGATAGAGCCATTGAGGGCTTTGGCCATGCAGTGTCGAATCCATGTGCTAGGGTTGATTAGGCTCTTGGTTAACTAGCTAGTAGCTACATGTCGTCATACAATATCTTGCCACAATTTTCAAATGGATGTTTTGTTATTAAATCATGCCAACATCTCAATCGTATCATGGCATACTTATGTGTTTAGATAAATTCTCGCTATATATTATACATTTCATATCATTGTCGTGCTTTTTCTACAAAAATGTGATTTGTACAAGCCCGCCCACGATCTAAGCAGCCCAATTATGTGTCGGTAATGTTGTGCCTCAAGCTAGAGCAGCCCAATTCCATCATTACATGTATTTTGTACCCCCTTAGAAGTGCAAAATTGAGAAAACCTGAAGTACAAAATCCCAACCGAACAATTCTCATTCACTTGGGCTGAAAATTTCAACCCAACCCATTTCAACCTTGGGTTGGGTGGCTTTCTCTCAACCCATATAGCAAATTTTCAGACCATAGTAGTTTCAGTCTCTCAGACCTTGTGACCTATTCCAACATTGTTTACCTGTGATTAGGCCATTATTTTTGATTTAAATGGCAAAATCTACTCTCTTTTTTTTATATATACTTATATAACGAATATTATATGACTTTCCCATTCAAAAAAAAAAAAATAATAATATTTTACTGATTGACCTGAATTTTACATGATAAAAGAAGACAGTTGGGCCTACTGGCTAACATATTGGGCTAAAATTTGATTGGCCTCTTGGGTAGATAAATGGACTGCTTCGCCAATATATGATGCACCGTGGGTGCAGTGTATATTGTTGTGTAGTATTCTCTTGTTCCAAACTTTTACTAAGAAAAAACTATAAGCCCATCCTGATTATTTGATATCAATGAGTTTTATAAAGGACATTTGGCCCAAGATCACAGAATTGTGAACACTTATGTTTTACTCGGTAGTGTTTTAAAAGTATGAGTTATTATGGTTGTTCCGCTTTAACTAAACATGTTTGTCAATGCACACTTTAGAATTTAAGTTATACTCGTATATTCTACAAGTAAAATTCTACATTAAGAATAATTCAATACTTTTTTTTTGATAATCCATTTGACCTTTACTCATTATGTATTAAAGTAAAACAAGTAAGAAAAAAAAATGTTGAGAAACATGATTGAATTGAACTTCACAGTGGTAATTAAAGTCAATGAAGACTTTACTAAGTACAATAATTTGTATAAAGTACAATAATGTATATTATTGTATTCAATTATTTTGGCTATATAAATGAAAGTTCACGTATTGTGAACTTAAGTTGAAAAACAAGAAAAGAGTTTTCCTACCATTCTACTACTTACTTCCTATCTTCATCCCTTCACTGATAAATATCTTACCATCAGTAAAATATTTTTAATACGTTATCAGCACGAGTTTCCAGTCAGGTATATTTATACCTACTTCTAAAAATTTATAACAAATAATACTATCTACTTCTAAATGTTTCGAGGAATATGCTCTATAGTTGCCCATATTTGGGATCCTCTATACCAGAAACTCAAACATTTACTGTATTATATATACCTTAAAACAACGGTGAAAGTTCTCTTACTTGTGAATTCATTACTATCATCTTTTGTTTTATTCATGTTGATGTTTCTTTGTTTGATTCATGTTGATATTACATACTCATTTTACGTAAATTTTGATCTTAGTTATTATAATTGCTAAGTAGTAACTTTGCATGCATATTATTAACTAGATTAACAAAAAGATGCAGCCTTTTATACTTATTATTTTTCTTACTTTTACATACTTTTTGTGTTTCTTTCCGTTTTCGAACCCATGATCTTTTATAGATATTAGGGTTCTCGGACCACTATGGCTTGCATTCCCAGTGTGATAACCTTTTACAGTTATAAATATATATATACGGACCATAATTTTATGCCAGTACATTAGACTATTATATGATATATTTACAGTTGTACAGAACAGTAACGGATAAACCTACCTCTACAAAAGGCGGATTTTCCCCCAATTTCACCACAAATCCCTTATCCCTTCCCACTTTTTATCCAAAAATCACCCAAAAATTTTATCACCCCCTTCTTCTCCGATATGTTCCCCGACGACGGCAACCAGAACACCCAAAACACCCACAAATTCACCTTTGAAGAAGATTTAAGGAAGATAAAACAATATTTCCTTCTAATTACGGCGCTTGTAGTTCTATTAGTAGCAATATTAGTTTTTGTCATTATGTATAAGTAAAACTCACTTATTTTGTCGTTTTAGTATATTAAAAGCTTGTTTTTGTTTTATTATGTTTGTTTGTTGTTATTAATCATCATTGTATAATATTACCGTTATCATTATAATTATTGTTACTACTGCTATTGTTGTCGTTTTGTTTTTTTTTGTTTTTTTTTGCAACTAACATGATTAATTTTTGTCTAATCATATAATTACTCACAATAATAAACCAAGGGGGAGAAAAGACTATATTATTTATGGTTTATTATTATATTAAATTTAATTATCACGTGTCTTATTAACTTAATTATAAATATGGAAGAACTAAACATGTGAGTTGTACATATAATTTGTTATTATAAACTAATTATCACGTAATTTGTTGTAGCTAAAATGGGAGACCTTATGAAAAGACAGTTCAGCATCTTAGATTTATCTGGAAAGAAATTTCTGGAATGGAAAGTGGATGTAATGATGAATTTGAAAGCTCAAGGCTTGGAGCACACTGTTAAAGAAAATAAAAGTCCCTCTGGTCAAACAACTGATACTACCACTTCTGCAATGACTGTTGCAAAACCCGTTACTGAACAAGATAAGGCAAAAGCCTTAGTGTTGTTAAGGCATCATTTACATGAAGGCCTTAAAACTAAGTACATGATGGTTGAAGATCCCAAAGAATTATGGGATTGCCTTAATGAAAGATTTGGACACCACAAAAGGGTGCTCCTTCCTAAGGCATTATTTGATTGGACAAATTTACGGTTCCAGGATTTCAAATCTGTAATTGATTATAATTTAACTATACATGAGATAGTGTATATATTGAGATACTGTGATCATCCAGTTTCGGATGAACATATGATTGAAAAAACACTCACTACCTTTCATGCAAGCAACATACTGTTGCAAGAGCAGTATCGTGAAAGAGGTTTTAAAAAGTTCAATGAATTAATGAGTGTATTGCTTGTTGCGGAACAAAATAGTGAACTTTTGTTGAAAAATCATAACCTGAGACCAACTGGGTATTTGGCCACTCATCATGAGGCAAATGCAACAAATTCCTATCCACCCGAGTCAAATTCTACAAGAAGAGGTGGACGTGGAAATTACAATGGCCGTGGAAGAGGTCGTGGAAATTATCGCGGACGCGGCCGTGGTCGAGGTAGAAACAATTTTCAAAGAAATAGTAATTTCAAAAAATTTGAAAAACAGAAGGGCAGTCATCTGGAAGCCACAAACAAACTCCTTCGAAAGGAAAAGACACATGTTACAGATGTGGCATGACAGGACATTGGGGACGTACTTGTCGTACGGCCAAACATTTGGTAGATCTTTACCAGGCTTCTGTAAAGGGCAAAGAGAAAAATGCAGAAGCAAATTATGTTAATGAGGAAAATGCTCCTTGTCCCAGCCTTGATGTATCCGATTATTTCATGGATAATGCTGAAATTGGAAATGATTTCATTCTTGGAGAAAACAACAATGCTTAGGTTTCTCATCTACTAATGTAACATATGCTATGTTTTAATGTATTTTCTTAGTTCCCTGTATTTTAATGTACTTTTAATCTCTATCATCAATAAAAGTTTGTATGATATTATTCTAAACTAATCTCAAATTTATTTTATGAAGATGTGGATCTACCTGAAGTTAGTTCCGAATATCAATGTCTTTTGGACAGTGGAACAACGCACACTATCTTAAAAGATAGAAATTATTTTTCACAACTAAAGTTGTTTCAAGCAAATGTGAACACTATTTCTCGGTCAGCTAAATTAATTGAAGGATCTGGAAAGGCTTGTATAATGCTTCCAAATGGAACAAAATTAATAATCAATAATGCTTTATATTCGAGTAAATCTCGAAGAAATCTCATAAGCTTTAAAGATGTACGCCAAAATGGCTATCATCTAGAAACAATGACGACAGATCAAAAAGAGTATATATGCCTCACGGCAGAAAAACATGGCAAGAAATATATATATGAGAAATTGCCAGCATACTCTTCGGGGTTATATCGTATAAACATACGACCCGTGGAAATCAATATGGTATCTAACCAGAAGTTAGATGACAAACATTTGATTATTTTATGGCATGATCGCTTGGGACATCCAGCAACTGGGATGATGCAAAGAATAATAGCACATTCAGTTGGACATTCAATAAGAAATGTCAAAATTCCCAAATCAGATGAATTAACATGCTCTGCATGTTCACTTGGCAAATTAATAATAAGGTCATCCATGAACAAAATTGCTACTGAATCTCCAAAATTCTTGGAAAGAATTCAGGGAGATATATGTGGGCCGATTAATCCAGCATGTGGACCATTTCGATATTTCATGGTTTTAATTGATGCTTCTACACGATGGTCACATGTTAGTCTACTTTCAAGTAGAAATGTTGCCTTTGCAAAATTACTTGCCCAAATCATCAAATTAAGAGCACAATTCCCATATCATACAATAAAGAGAATAAGACTTGACAATGCTGGGGAATTTACATCCCAAACATTTAATGATTACTGTACGTCAATTGGAATTGATGTTGAACACCCAGTAGCTCATGTTCATACACAAAATGGTCTAGCTGAATCACTAATTAAGAGATTACAATTGATTGCAAGACCATTATTAATGAGGTCAAGATTGCCATCATCTGCTTGGGGACATGCTATAATACATGCAGCAGCGCTAATTAGATTGAGACCTACAGCTTATCATAAATTCTCACCACTACAACTTGTTTGTGGTCGAGAACCAAGTATCTCACATCTAAAAATCTTTGGTTGTGCTGTATATGTTCCCATTGCTCAACCCAACGAACAAAAATGGGTCCACAAAGAAGGCTGGGAATTTATGTCGGGTTTGAATCCCCCTCTATAATTAAATACCTTGAACCATTGACTGGTGACTTATTTACGGCTAGAATTTGCGGACTGTCACTTTAATGAAACAGTATTCCCAGCCTTAGGGGGAGAGAAAGTGGACCCACATAAGAAAGAAATTGAACTCATTTGGAATGCAACACAACTGTTGATGTTAGACCCACGAACAAATATGTGTGAACAAGAAGTTAAGAAAATTGTTCATTTACAAAGTGTTGCAAATCAATTGCCTGATGCATTTGTAGACATAAAGAAGGTGACAAAATCACATATACCAGCAGAAAATGCCCCTGCACGTATTGAAATCCCAACTGGTAATAAGGCCATAGAAAATGAATCTCAGGCACGCAGAAAGCGTGGAAGACCACTTGGTTCAAAAGATTCTAAGCCAAGAAAATTGAAAAGATTGGATGGAATAGAAAATGAGACTAATGATGTTCCCCCGTCAGAAGGTCAAGAAAGACCAAATGTGGATGAAAGTAAAGAAAATGATGATAATCCAAAAGGGGACGAACAAGAAGACAACCCTACGGGAAATGAACAAGATGTTCAAAACATTGATACCAATGAAATTTCAATGAATTACGTCTCTACAAAGACTCAGTGGAATAGGAAAGATGTTATCGTTAATGAAACATTTGCAAATTCCATCGCAATCGACATCGTGTCTGATGAAAATGATGTTGAATCAAGAACTGTAGAAGAATGTCGACGTAGGAGTGATTGGCCAAAGTGGAAGGAGGCAGTGCTGGCTGAGTTAAAGTGACTTGAAAAACGAGAAGTTTTTGGAAAAATAACCCTTACACCAGCAGGTATAAAACCCGTTGGATACAAATGGGTATTTGTGAGAAAACGTAATGAGAAAAATGAAATAGTTAGATACAAGGCAAGACTTGTAGCCCAAGGATTTTCTCAAATTCCAGGGATTGATAATGAAGAAACATATTATCCAGTGGTTGATGCAACTACATTAAGATTTCTGGTAAGTTTGACAGTCACAAAAGGACTGCAAATGCGATTAATGGATGTAGTGACTGCGTATTTGTATGGGTCACTCGATACGGACATTTACATGAAAGTCCCCGAAGGACTAAAACTACCAGAAAACCACAAGCCTAGACAACTGCTTTCCATAAAACTAAAAAGGTCACTTTATGGATTGAAACAATCTGGAAGGATGTGGTACAACCGTCTGAGTGAATACCTTATGAGAGAAGGATTCAAAAACAACCAAGTTAGTCCCTGTGTTTTCATAAAGCGATCACAATCAGGATTCGCTATCATTGCAGTTTATGTTGATGATTTAAATATCATCGGAACCCCAAATGAACTCGAGAAAACTGCAAAATACTTGATGAAAGAATTTGAGATGAAAGACCTTGGGAAAACTAAATTTTGCCTTGGACTGCAAATTGAGCACTTGAGTCATGGTATTTTTGTCCATCAATCAAACTATACAGAAAGTGTTTTGAAACGATTCTTCATGGACAAAGCAACTCCAACCAACTTCCCAATGGTTGTTCGTTCTTTGAATATGAAAAATGATCCATTTAGACCCCGAGAAGAAAATGAAGAGATTTTGGGTCTAGAAGTACCATACTTAAGTGCAATTGGAGCCTTAATGTACTTAGCTAACAATACTAGACCCGACATAGCTTTCTCTGTGAATTTGTTAGCCAGGCACAGCAATGCACCAACATATAGGCATTGGAAGGGAGTTCGACACTTACTCCGGTACCTACGAGGGACACAAGACCTTAGTTTATATTACCAACCAAAACAAGATGTTGCTCTCATTGGGTATGCAGACGCTGGATACTTATCAGATCCTCAAAATGCCAAGTCACAAAATGGATATGTGTTCACTTATGGCGGCACTGCAATATCATGGAAATCAACAAAGCAGACATTGACAGCGACATCGTCAAATCATGCAGAGTTGATAGCCCTCTATGAAGCAGGACGGGAATGTGTGTGGCTGAGGTCGATGACCAGTAATATCCAAAAGGAGTGTGGAATGAACACAATAACAGAAGACCCAACCATCATCTTTGAAGACAATACATCATGTATCGCTCAAGTAACTGAAGGATATATTAAGGGAGATAAAACGAAACATATTGCCCCAAAACTGTTCTTCACACATGATCTGCAAAAGGACAAGGAAATAAATATCCAGCAAATTCAGTCTTGTGAAAATCTTGCTGACCTGTTCACCAAATCACTTCCTTCGAAGAAATTTGAGCAGTTAGTTCACAAAATTGGAATGCGACATCTTCGTGAACTATGCTGAGATCAGGGGGAGTATTATATGTACTGCACTCTTTTTTCCTTCGATCAGGTTTTTATCCCACTGAGTTTTTTTTTTCTGACAAGGTTTTTAACGAGACAGTACACCAAAACATATAATACAATATAGTTGTACTCTTTTTCCCTAGCTATGGTTTTTATCCCACAGGGTTTTACCTAACTAGGTTTTTAATGAGGCAACTTGTACCCCATTCCATGTGAACGTTCAAAGGGGGAATGTTGAGAAACATGATTGAAATGAACTTCACATGTGGTAATTAAAGTCAATGAAGACTTTACTAAGTATAATAATTTGTATAAAATACAATAATGTATATTATTGTATTCAATTATTTTAGCTATATAAATGAAAGTTCACGTATTGTGAACTTAAGTTGAAAAACAAGAAAAGAGTTTTCCTACCATTCTACTACTTACTTCCTATCTTCATCCCTTCACTGATAAATATCTTACCATCAGTAAAATATTTTTAACATAAAGTTCTATTTTACCACCAAAAATTTCTAAAAATTGTTTTTTACCGTCAAGAAAATCGTTACATTTAAATGTTTAAAAAAAAATCGATTTTCATACGTAACATATGTTGTTCATGGGATTAATTTAGACCTACAAATCCAATTTAAGGTTAGAATTTACAAAAAATAATCGGAAATGAATCTTTTTGCGTATTTCACGCAAATTAAAGTATTTTTAAACACGCAAAAGAAAGCATTTTCGATCATTTTTTTTGTCAATTCTGACCTCAAATTGAACTCAAGAATCAAAATGCCCCCCAAACCTCTAAAGACCATGTGTTTGGCACGAAAATCGAAGAATTTAAAAATTTTCATTAGGTTTTTGACAGCAAATAGTAAAAAACAATTTTGTGTTTTTTTTTTAGTAAAAATAAAAAAAAAATTGTCAAATTGATGGAGGAGAGGGTTCAAACGGCACCGTTTTGAACTTCCTTTGTTCTTTTTTACTTGGCCCGCTTTAAATTTGACACTAGTTACCACTCTTTTTTTTACCATCTGTTATAAATTATATATCAGGAAAAACATGTACATGTGAAATCTTGTTGGAATCATCTAAATATGGAATATAGGTTAAAAAAAGGGGTTAAAGCCATTCATCAGTCAGGATGGCCGAGTGGTCTAAGGCGCCAGACTCAAGTTCTGGTCTTCGAAAGAGGGCGTGGGTTCTAATCCCACTTCTGACAAAACTTTCACTTTTTTTTTTTTGGGTATTGTTGTTGTATTTCACTGCTACACTTTGTAAGAGTTTCCATAACTGCAGCCTTATCAGTTGCATTCGAACTGTGCGTATAATTAATTGTATAATCCGAACTTGCATTTGTATTTCTGTAATACGAAGTATAATGCTAGCTTATCAAGTTATCAGTTGGTTTTACTACCACAGAGCCTTGCACTCGACTTTTGGGCAGAGAGTAAGGCTTGCAATCCAAAGAAATTTGTGTATGTTTTAGGAAAATCGCTCCCTCAAGCTAAGTAGTATTTGCACATCACCAGTATTTCTTCTATGTGTATGACTGTATATACATGCAGTAAAAGGCACATATATTTTGTTCATTCTGGCTCCATTATCATACTTGCTCTGCAATTTTGCATTAATCCTTGAAAGCACAATCACTTCACAACTTAAAAGACAATTTAACATATTTTACACCAACTTCGTTAATCGCTATAGTAGACTTAGTAGCGAGCATAAGGAACGTTCATCACTTTCGTTTTTCAAGCATTATTAAGTGTTTGGGTCCAATTAAGCCTAATTGGGCCTGGTCCATAAATGATTCAATCCAAGTCAAGGTCAAGACTCAAGCCTCCCATAATGCCAGATCAACCTCAAGTCAACGGCCCAAGTCATCATGGTCAACCCATATGACTCCAAGCCCACTCCTCCTTATTATGCTAAGGTATAAAAGCCTTCAATTACACCATTTATCATTCATTCATATATAGCCTCAAGCAATTAATACTCTTGCATAGCTTTCTCTCTCTAAACACTGTTTGACTTCGGCATTGGAGGGGCCTTCCTCGGTGCAACCCCCAAGGCCAGTTTACGTGTGTTTGCTATGCAGGAAACCCTCGACCCAGCATTACTTGGACCGAGTTCAGTCTTCAGCCATATCTTCGGACTTTCGGCAAGGTCCCATTGTTTTCACCCGAAACATTAAGTAATATCCAAAATTTATGTTTCAAATGATTTTGGATGGATTAATCCCTCATATTTCTTATCTTGGAGATTGATGAAACATTTGGGCTTGATTATTCCCTATAATATTTCTGTTTCATATTTCCCATTTTTATTTGTGGGCATTTAGACAGTGTATGTGAGTTTGGATGAAAAGCCCTACCCAAATTAATGAAAAAGGCCGACCGTTAAATAGGAATGAAAGCTTGTTAATTGTAAAATATACGAAGTAATACTTTTGAGTTTTTAACTCTTCCTTTTGCAAATCAACACGTCAATACTTCATCACCTCACTTCATAAAATTTAAATTATTTTTAAAAACTAGTCTAATAATTTGTTGAAATGACCAAAAGGGTGATAATTTGAGACTTGAATCTATACATTAAAATTCAAAATAGTCATCATAATAAGTAATACTACCTCTACTCATTATGTACAATTGAAATATGGTATTTGTGAGGTATAAAATATTCATTTATTGCACATAATAAGAAATAGAGGTAGTAGCTAAGATAGCTAAGGCTAAAAGATTAGCGATTATGATAACTAAGATAACTTGAGCTAAAACGTAGGTCATGGTAACATAGCCAAATTAAAGTATCAAGTCCTTGGACTATTTACTGATTTCAAAGAAAGCACATCAAGTTTTTATTTATTTATCTATTTATTTTTTACAAAAGAAAGCACATCAAGTTAAATACTTATAAATTAATAAAAATTACTTCATATTTAAAATACTGATTTTATTATCTTTTTTTCTTCTCCGAATAGGTGTATAAAAAGTCACAAAGGGAAATGACTTAGGCAAGGTTCACTTACTTTAATCTCAACTCCTATGTAATATCCGTTAAGTTAACTCACACAAAACGTGTTAACATACCTAAATAAGTATTTCGTATCACGCAACTCTAAAAACCATAAAAGGCATAAGAAACAAACTAACAAAAGAAAAGAAAAGGCAAAGAAGACAATTTCCTCAAGACTTTTAAGAGAAAGTAAACACTATCAAGATAACATCCAATTATATGTAAAAATGTTCACATATAATAGAACTCTCGTAAAGTAGATAAGATCTAAGACATATACATAATTAGCTTTATTAGTAACTAATAATAAAGAAATAAGGGTGTTTTTCTTAGTCATGAATCTCGTATTCTCGTGACACAAATTAAAGAGACCATGTTATGCTATGTTATGTTACACGAAACAAACCAATAATTGAGGCCATTGCACCATAATATTTCACCACCTCAACATTTTGATGTAGACTTTTCTTGTTGCAGAGGTTGAAAAATATTGATGGAATATAATTATTTTTATAGAAATATAAATAAAATATAAAATATCTTTTGTGGAGTATTTTCAAGAAATGTGGGTCCATAATTTAGACAAAGACTTCATTGTGTTTCTTCTCGTCCAAAGTCCCATAATAATGTGTCATCACCTTCCACCCCTGCAAATTGGTCCTACTTACATAAATCTGCAATAATAATAATAATATCTTTGCTCATCTATAATTTCTGATCAAACTTATATTCACATACAAGTTTGATAATTCGTTACCTACTACCATTAAACATCCTACAATCTTGCATATCTCTATCACATATTGCCACGTGGTTTTCGAGATAAAATATCACTATGATCTATGTAGTTCAGATCAAGGGTCAATTGAAAACAACCTCTCTATTGTCGGGAGATACGTGAGTTTAGAACCCCTAAACAGTGTCATGTTGGGGTAAAAGGGTAATGGTTTATCAATTAAATCATGAACGTATAGTATATCAGTAGGCTAATTTAGCACAATGAAACAAGTTTTTGATCCATTTCATACACAATAAATTTGAGTTTAACTGCAAAAAAAGTAACTGGAAAATCCCACATTATGGCACCCGATTGCAACCAAAGCACCCGTACATTAAAAAACTACTCTATTGTACAGATAGTTGTGTAGCAACTTATGTCTAAAAACAAATTCTTTGCTTTGACATGCATGTTCCTAGATAAGGTAAATAGAATGTATGATTTAGTAACTCTATGCAAAATGAATCTACAGCTAATTTACTTTGAAGTTTACGTTTCTATGTTGATGTGAAATAGATAAATTAATGCAGAAAGAGCAAACTACAGATCAATGATTGAGCCAACTGAGCCAACGTTGACTAAAGATAGCTAAGCGAGGCACTGAACACAAACCTATCTCAAGGATAACCATTATTGCTTTGATTCACTCTTTGAATTTCCACCATTGTTCGAGTCTTGTGCTTTTGGCTGCTCCTGTAGTGGATTGGACTGTAACTTATTAGGGTTGTTTTGGTTGGGTTGCTGCTGCTGCTGCTGGTACATTTGAGGATTGACAAAAAGCTGCTGCCCAAAACTCTTGGATATAGACTCGGCACTCAGCTCTCCTGTGGCTACCTTTAGGCGTTGGATTTCTGCTGTTAATGCTTCATTTAGAGCTGCCAAATATATCAAAATCACATTAGATTTGATGCTATACATACTACTTCGAGCAGATAAATCCTTTAAAGATCGCCAAATAAATGAATTAACTACCAATGATGCAAAGTTATCCAGAATATAAGCATATTTAGAATTAACAGTTTAACACCAACCTGTAATTCAGTCTTTCTTTTCAATTTCTTACCTTTTTAATCCTTTAGTTATTAAATAGGGAGGAGGGGGATTAGTTCAAATTAACAAAGATACGATGATTAAAAACAACTCCTAGACCAAAGACACTACAGGAATAGTTAAATAATTACTACGTATCATATTGATGCAAATATAGACTAACAAATAACAATCCCAATAACTTATAGAGCAAACTGCTTTCAGAAACAGCCATATCCACATTAACTCTTACTGCTATCATTTCAAAATTGGTAATCATACCCTCACGAAGCTGAGCTTGTTGCTCCATCGCTTGTAGACGAAACTTCAGCTCATTGTTTTGGCTGGAAAGTCCGGAAGAATCCCTCTGTTCACAAAACAAAACTTTGATTAAGGCCACACGAACCATATGCAAACGAGTGCACATTTCTAAACCAGTATTCTCAGTACCTGCAATAATGTAAGCTGTGCAGACAAAGTTGTGGCTTCATTTTGTAAAGTTTGAACTTTGTGTTCCAATTCTGATATGTATCTCATTTTCCGCTCCTTTGAGCGAGCAGCTGACTGACGATTTGCCAAAATCCTGAAACGGAACATATACAACACAAATCTGAATAAGCAATGATCTCAAATCATCACCGCCTTGAAACAAAACCATACATGAACACGGTAGAGGATACCTTTTGGCACGTTTAGGGTCCGTTAAAGCAATCTCAGCTAACTTCTCATTTGCCATTATCTTCTTCAGTTCAGCCCCAGTAAACTCTCCGTTACCAAATTCCAAACTGAATGCACTGGAATTTCCATTTTCAGGATCCTTAAGAGAAAGCTGAGCAACACCAGTACTCGGAGAAGGAGGTAGCTTTGGAGATTCGTCACCAAAATTCATATTCCCTATGAAACTGTCCATCGAAATACTTCTGTAGTGTCTAGATGGTGCAGCCTCACCTACGGAACCCCTCTTTCGTTCACCAATCATTGGTCTTTGTCCACTGCTTCCACTCTCATTCACACTGCTTTCAGCTTCATTATCACTACTTTCACATCCATTCGTCTTGGACCCACTAGCTCGACTATCCAAATCATCTCGATTTTCATTACAATACTTGTCATCAGTCCCGGAAGAATTCATGGTATCAATGTTGTCCAGATCCATATACGCGGAAAGGATATCATCTACAACTTCACCTTCTACATTACCATCTCGCGTCTTATCCCAACTAGACTCCTTCTTAACTAACTGTGCAGGCTTGGTTGAAGTCACAAACTCTCCACTAGACAAAGTCCTCTCCAAATCACCATGACCTCCTCTTGGATTAGGAGATACCATTGGTGATGGCGGCGGAGATGATTGAAATATACTATCAAAACCAAAAGGAATATCACTTATAGAACGCCTATGCAATTTCCTTGGTGGCAGTCCCTCAGTGATATGAGCTGAATTACCCCTGCCAGACGGTGGCAACAACGAATTGCCACCGCCATCACGATTCTCCAACGAACCATTGGACAAATTAGTACTATCAGGAGCACTAGTAGGGGAAGTAGAGTTTTGGTAAGGCGACGGACTCAAAGGGGGCAACGAATCATTCATAAAAAAGGCCGGTTGCGACAACGATCGCGAATGAGACGGTCCACGACAGAAATTCTGTGAACCTGAGTGCCGAGAACCTGTTCTAGTAACTGGGATTTGTGAATAGGGTGACAGGGGTGGCATAGGAGGGTGAGATGGTGGTATCCCTGATCTTTTACCATTTTCAGAGTTGAAATTTTGCAAATTCTGGGAATTTTGAGGTAAAGGAGGTCGGATTTGGGATATATTCAATTGAGCTACATCAAGATGATTACTTGTTCTTGATAAAGCCCCAAATGGATTTTGAAGTCTATGCATCATATCAATATTACCCCTTTCTGTATCACCCATTTTGGATTATAAAACCCTAATAACACAAATTAAAACCCCAAATAATCAATCAATTTATCAGCTTTAAATTTCAACCCACAAAACCCCAAAACATCAGCTGAACCTCACTATCACACATAAACCTAGAGCAAAAAAAATACCCAACAAAATCAATTTAATCTTTTACCAAATAATCAAATACCCAGATGAAAAGAACAATCAATCAAGTAACCCAGATGATAAAAATCCAATCTTTTTCAAAAAACAAGAAAAACGAAAGAAAAGAGGGTGAAAATGGTGGTAAGAGTAACAATACCTAGCAGCAAAATGAGGCATAAAATGGAGAGAGAAACAAAAAGTAATGCTGCAACACCAGCGTAAGTTAGCAAAGAAGCGTGACTCTAGTAAGACTAATATGCGCCTGATCGGAAAAAACCTTAAAGCAAGGCGGAAGAAGGGGTTCACTTTCTCTCACTAAACTTTCTCTCTCTTAAACTCTTGTTGTCTTAATGAAGGAGAAGATATCACTAAAAAATTATACTGGAACACGGATTTTCTGGTGACTAACGCGTGAATTTAATTAAAATAAGAAAAAGTTTTCAATTTTTTAATTTGATTTAGTTTCTCGCTCTAAATACAGTGTTTTAGAAAGAGGGTGAGAAATTTGATTTGAATTTGGGTTTCATTCCGACCGCATTTGGACCTCATATACCCGTATTGATATCTTTCAAATTTTCAATCAATCAATCAAACTTATTCAATTCTTATTTTTCTATCCCCTCCATCTCCGCAGTATATAATGGTTTTAAAATACTTTTTTCATTTTTTGGTTTTTAATTATTGACATGTTTTTTTTAGTCACATTTGTCAATTCATAAATTAAATCATTAATATCCTTAATTACCGATACGAAAAAATTATAAAAATTTGATATTTTGAAAATATACATTGTGACGAATCTAACAAAATCTTACTTGAATATATTTTACCTTAGAGCAAGTTTAGCCCCAAGTTTTAAAATTTGGATGTGACATTATTTTTGGTGGTACCCATTGAAATGATGTCATCAAATTCTTGTTAAGACTTAGGGTCTGTTCTCTTACGTTGAAATTCAATTCAGTTCAGTTCAGCTCCTAATTTCCTTCTCTTATAAAATATTCAGTTCAATTCAGCTCCTAATTTCCTTCTCTTATAAAATATTCATTTCAGTTCATTTCAGTTCAGTTTAGTTCAGTTCAGTTCAGTTTAGCTCAGTTCAGTTCAGTTCGGTTTAGTTCAGTTCAGTTCAGCTCAGTTCAGTCAATGAGAACAGGCCTTTACACAAATTTATCACTTTAGCCCTAAGACTTAAATATTTGACATATTATACGTAGAAAAGTGTTAAAATAAAAATTAAAAAATAAAAAATAAAAAATAAAAAATAAAAACAAAATTATAAAACTAAAAGTGAGGGGGTGAAGTGGGTCTCAATCTCAAGTCTTAAGTTGAGTATTCGAATTTCAAGACTTAACTTGAGACAGCTTGAGATTTTTGATGAAAAATGTGAAAAGTCTTAAGCATATGTCTTAAACTTGCTCTTACATATAAATCACAAAATATGGTCAAAAGGAGGTGTGTGAACAATGCTAAAGCTAAAACGTGTTAACTAGTACTCCCTCTATTTTTAAATACTTGCTTCATTTTTTTATGCGCGGAGTTTTAGGAGAAATCAGAGAAAATAATAAAATATGAACGTAGTAGAGTAGGTGGAAAAATAAAAAATTGTAAAAAGCAAAAGTAGTGAAGAAAATTAGAGGAGAGAGAATATGAAATAAATATTGTAAAAGCAAAATGGAGCAAGTACTGAAAAACGGAGGGAGTAAAAAACAGCGGTAGTAATTTTCTTAGCACACAATGTAAGATTATAAATTTTAGTTGTAGCCAATTAAATAAGTGATTATTAATTTATTTATTTATTTTTTTTGAATTTAATAATTCAAATGCCACGCAAGCAAAATTGGCGAATGATATTTTTAAGTTTTAATTAATTAAGTATAAAATATTATCTTTTGATATTAGATGTTTTATCTAAATATGTAACAAATTTTAGTACAAAAATACAAAATAATAATAATAATAATAATTATTATAAATTCAAACAAATCGGCTTCATCTCGTAGTTAGATATAATCGTATTGGTACAAAACTTGTCTATAGACCAGAAGTAATAACTTGTGAAAGTAGAATAAATATTTTGAAAATATAATTTCATCATCTTGAAAAACAAAAATGATACTTCGTAATACACCGTTATCAAACGCGGTAAAGAATTTCGAATTCATGTGCGATTTTATAAATTGGGCCATTGGGACTATGTGCGGTTGCGCCGATCTCACGGCGTGTTATTATTACTCATATAAAATTTCCCGGTTGATTGTACGATTTTGTTGATTTATTTATCATTTAGTTATTTAACTAGCATAGTGCCCGTGCGATGCACGGTTTATAAATCAAACTATTAAACCCGTAGGAAAAATAAAAATAAAAACAAAGGTAATTCATTTACTATTAAAGGACTTGGTTACTAATGGTCAAAAAAAAAATTAAGGAACGTTATTTGAATAGTATTTTATGTTATTTGAATTTCTTTTAATTTTTTATAATGTTATTTTATTAATTGAAAAATAAAAGAATAATACTCCACATAGCTATATAAGAAGTGGACTAATTTATTTATATCTCCCGTTGAGAAAAAACTAAAAATTTCTTATCATACCATCCGCATCAGTAGCTACAATCAATCTAATATATACATGTTTTATTTACCCGTCTCACTCGTTAAATCTATAGACACAATAATAACCTTATATTTGACCTACCAGAACATATATTTTCCTTAGTTAAGCATTGTGCCAAAAACTATATATTATGTAATAGTCATATATATAACCAATAGCTGATTAAATATAGTATACAACACAAATACTTCGTATATAGGTATGGATACTGATAATTTTATATAAATAAAATATACGGAGTATATATTACTAAGATTTATCCCTACCTTAATTATAAAATGGTTAACAAAACTCTTATAATAGTGCATGAACATTTATATATCTAAAAATGTTCTTTTTAAATATATTTTCCCCCATTTAATTTTAAAAGCCTTAAAATTGTCTCTTGAATTCGCTAAATTGATTTAAAAGGTTATGTTTATTTCAATATTTAAAGCCATTTACTATTTTCATTTCCTTTCCTTTTGTTTTAATTTTTCTATTTAGAATTTATTAGACTATTAGGTTTCAAGATCGAAGTCAATATCTTTTTACCGTACAATCACTAAATCAAAGTCACTCAACTAAAGTTTTGGACATTGCATAGCTACACATGCAACATCCAACACATTTAATGATTACATGCAAATAATTTTAATAAAACTACGCATTCGATATAAGTTATTAAACAATTTAACTATATATACATTTTGATAGGTTTATATCTTTCATATTAACTAAAATTTACAAATGTTATTATTATATTTTGAAAAAAAAATTTAGACTTTGGAGTTTTGTATAAGATAGATAAAGGATAAGTTAATTCCCGTCATATATGTATTGAGTTTTGGGTGTTCTATCCGGTTCACCCTTTGGGCTAATCTAGATTTGAGGATCTGTTCTAGGTTATTAGGTTCCACTCCCTTTCCGATTGTTGTTGCGGGGAGCGAACACAGGTCCTCCCTACCAAGTGTAGTCTCAATCACCACTACACCAACAACCAAACACTTTGTATGGAGGACACGTGTTATAAAATATTATATTATATATACATATACTTTTTTATATTATAAAAAATATTATATTATATACACATACTATTATAGTAAAAATATTATTATGTATAAAACAACATAAATTATTGCACATGATTGTTGTATATCTAGCATAGTACATGAGCAATGCACGATTTTAAAATCAAAATGTTAGTTTTTCTAAAAAAAAATTCATAAGTAATAGCATTGTTAATACGAATATTACAATTTAAAACGCGAGTAATGGTTATAATACATTTTATATCTATCCCTTTTCCGTCAAATGTCTAATTCAATTTAACTTTTATTCTTCTTGTTTTGATTGGTTATTGGTTCAGTTTATTTTTATTTTTATTTTTAATGCAAGAAAAACAAAAGGTCATTGTAAAAGACATTGTATAGAAAATGAAAGGTCGATTAAAATTAAATTTATGTTCAAGATTATGTATTTTTTTCCAAGACAACATTTTGGCTCAGCATTCAGTATTTGTCAAGGAGCAAAACAAACGATAAAAGTAATTTTTACACTATTTTGTATCTTTATCAAAAAATTTTGTATTCATCCGATTACTTGAATTGAATTTAGGATAATTGTAGACTATTTTGGGTAACTTTTATCAATAAAGCATAAATAACTTTCATTCATTACAGGGTAGCTTTTATAATAGGTGCACAATATTTTATTGTACATCTGATTTTTTTTAAATGTTTGTATTGATTTCATAATTGACGTCAAACTAAATTCTTATCGATTTATTTAATTTTCATAAAAAAAAAATATTAGCCTTTCAAAATATGAAATATTTGTTTCCTTAATTAAGCCACTTTAATCATATTGCTTCAAATTAGTTATTATTCTTTAATTTGACTATAAATAAATATTGGAAAGACTTTATGGATTATTTGTAGTGTTGGAACGTATATATTTATTATAAAAAAATTAAATCAATATTTATGTTAGAAAATCATGAAAATCTTATTCATATATAGAAACTTGCTTTTATTATTTAAAGTTTAACAAAAATAACTATGCTTGAATATGTAAACAGTAATTATATAGATATATTTAATACTTAAGATAAGTCAATGAGAGAGTGACATTTGTCATCCTCACATCGAGGTGCTTGTCTTTTAGTATAATACAGATAGATAGATAGATAGATAGATAGATAGATAGATAGATAGATAGATAGATAGATAGATAGATAGATAGATAGATAGATAGATAGATAGATAGATAGATAGATAGATAGATAGATAGATTATTTAACTTGACTATAAATAAAGATTGGAAAGACTTTATGAATTATTTGTAGTATTGGAAAGTATATATTTATTATAAAAAAATTAAATCAATATTTATGTTAGGAAATCATGAAAATCTTATGCATGTATAGAAACTTGCTTTTATTATTTGAAGTTTAACAAAAATAACTATGCTTGAATATGTAAACAGTAATTATATAGATATATTTAATACTTAAGATAAGCCAATGAAAGAGTGACATTTGTCATCCTCACATTGAGACGCTTGTCTTTTAGTATTTAGTATAATATACAGATAGATGTATAAATTTTGTCTAACTAGCTTTCCCATTTCTTATTTCCTTTGTGTTATTTTTTCTCGTACTTCCTAAATTGTTCTCAGTGTCATTTATTAAAATCTAATCTGAGTAAAAAATAAATATTAAAAAAATAAATAAATATTCTAATGCCATATAATTTAAAAGTTTAAGAATAGTATTTAATACAATTCAACGGTTCTTCAAAATCTAAATCGATCTATTTTAAAAACTTACAAAGAGTAGTACATAAAATAGTGGATTTTTAGAGATAAGGCGCAATTCACTATTGAAAATTAATACTGAAATGTCTTTTTTGCCCTATT